ACATGTTAGCCAGGAGCCTGTAAATATTCCTACCCAGAATAACAAAACTCAAAACTTGTCACATGTTAGCCAGGAGCCTGTAAATATTCCTACCCAGAATAACAAAACTTGTCACATGTAAGCCAGGAGCCTGTAAATATTCCTACCCAGAATAACAAAACTCAAAACTTGTCACATGTTAGCCAGGAGCCTGTAAATATTCCTACCCAGAATAACAAAACTTGTCACATGTAAGCCAGGAGCCTGTAAATATTCCTACCCAGAATAACAAAACTCAAAACTTGTCACATGTTAGCCAGGAGCCTGTAAATATTCCTACCCAGAATAACAAAACTTGTCACATGTAAGCAAGAAGCCTGTAAATATTCCTACCCAGAATAACAAAACTTGTCACATGTAAGCCAGGAGTCTGTAAATATTCTTACCCAGAATAACAAAACTTATAGTATATAAGTCAGGAGCCTGTAAATATTCCTACCCAGAATAACAAAACTTGTCACATGTAAACCAGGAGCCTGTAAATATTCCTACCCAGAATAACAAAACTCAAAACTTGTCACATGTAAGTCAGGAGCCTGTAAATATTCCTACCCAGAATAACAAAACTTGTCACATGTAAACCAGGAGCCTGTAAATATTCCTACCCAGAATAACAAAACTTGTCACATGTAAGCCAGGAGCCTGTAAATATTCCTACCCAGATAAACAAAACTTAAGAACTACAGTAAACCTTTATGAAAATGTTACATTTGATATTCCTACCACTGCCAATGAAATATTGATGCCATTTTTACAGGTAGGAAAGGGACCAGATATAAACTGGGAAACAAAGAAAAGATAAAAGTTTGTTATTTTTCTACAGCTCAATATAGTTATTTACAGCATCAACCTTCTAGTTAAACATACACATGACTATCTCAGAAATTAGGTGATGCTGTGTCAATCCTAACAAGAAGATTTAAATAGGTCCTTCCTAACTATGTAACAATATCTAAACTGATAATCAAACTGCATGTTATACATTCTATATAATACTACCTAAACTGACATTCAGACAATTAGGCTACCTTGTATACATTGTATGTAATACTACCTAAATTCAGACAATCAGGCTACCTGGTATACATTGTATGTAATACTATCTAAACTGACATTCAGACAATCAGGCTACATGGTATACATTCTACATAACACCACTTAAACTGACAATCAAGTTACATGGTATACATTCTATATAACTCTACTTAAACTGACAATCACGCTACCTAGTATACATTCTATATAACTCTACTTAAACTGACAATCACGCTACCTAGTATACATTCTATATAACACTACTTAAACTGACAATCACGCTACCTAGTATACATTCTATATAACACTACTTAAATGACAATCACGCTACATGGTATACATTCTATATAACTGTACTTAAACTGACAATCAGGCTACCTGGTATACATTCTATATAACTCTACTTAAACTGACAATCACGCTCCCTAGTATACATTCTATATACCACTACTTAAACTGACAATCAGGCTACCTGGTATACATTCTATATAACTCTACTTAAACTGACAATCAGGCTACCTGGTATACATTCTATATAACACTACTTAAACTGACAATCACGCTACATAGTATACATTCTATATAACTCTACTTAAACTGACAATCATGCTCCCTAGTATACATTCTATATACCACTACTTAAACTGACAATCACGCTACATGTTATACATTCTATATAACTCTACTTAAACTGAC